CATTTCTACTTTCCTCATGAATTAGAGTTACTTTTTAATGAGATCAAAGCAAGATGGTTTCCCAACATAAATTGGTATAGATCATAATCTAAAAAGGTTGCATTGTGTCTGTTTTCAAAACCTAGGGATCACTTTCACCTTAATCAGTTTTAAATAAAATTTGACTGCAGTATAAAAACCATGTATAAACTGAAACAGCTAAAAGAGACAGTTCTCCTCAAAGCTGTCGTTTAAAAAAAGACGCTCCTATGTATACTAGAGTGGAAATAAATACTGGGTTTGAAAAGAACACACTTTCTGGCCAATCAGCAAGAGTAGGGTCCTCCCAACTTTGCCCTGCCGCTTTACGGGGCAATGCTTTCTTCTTAGACTCCACTTTATGATCAATATCACTGCTTGCAAGTGCAGCTTTCACATTTTCGAGTGCTTCTGGAGTAATTGTTTGGGCATCCCTTTGAAACAACTGTTGTGCCTGTGAGTTGAGATTAGAAACATCAAAACCATTTCATGTATGACATAGTGCAGCTCCCTAATAAATATCAAATCCAATCACATGCTATCCTATAGATCTATGATCAAATACTCACATCAGCCTACTACATGCATAGAATACATGTATGCTATGATACGGTATATGTATCGGATAAAGAAGTATTTCGAGCACCTTCGAGGTCCAAGAAAAATTGAGAGATTGAGGAGGGAGAATTGAAGGAGAAGCAGATAGAAAGCCGAACGACTAGAGAAGACAGGGAGTAGATCAGGGTTTAGGAAGTTGATTTCCTTATTGATTGATTGAGTAATTTGAAAAAACATGCATCCCTATTTATGGGAAAGAGATAAAAGAAAACCCTAGCTAACCCAAGTGTGATCCTAAATCCTAGTCTTGTCAGTTAAACAAATGCATCAAAGTAAAGAACCAAAAAGAAACCCTCGAAGGTGCTTATAATTTTACTCATCTAATAAAATATAAATTACAATATATAATAAATAAGTAATTAAATAACCTACATCACCAATATCGTGCCGTATCACTGCCACCCCGATAGAGATCCACCTTGTCATCAAGGTGAAAGTTAATAAAAGAGAGGTTTGCAACTTTGCGGATGTCGCAACAAGCGGGGGATCTCACTCAAGCTTTTGGACAGGAGATGTAGTACCAAACAAAAGGATATGCCCAAGTAATTTGACGTGGCACGGAGTCACTTGGCAGCCTTACTTTCTCAATAATAGCGAGAGGAATAAAATTGTGTGTTTCTCCAGAATTAAAAATGATAACTCCACTACCTATCATTCTAAATGCTTTTGTGCATCCATTTAAAAGGCATCGTCCCTTGAAACATTCTCCTCAATAGAGTAGTCTTGGTGATGGTCGTCCCCATCACTAACAACATCTGTAGGAACAACATCAGTAGGAACAATATCAGTAACAATAACAGGAACATTGTCGGGAACACTTGTAGGATCAACAATAACTTTCTCCTTCGTCACGACTAATTTGAGTTCTTCATCCAGTGCATTCAATCACTCTTCTTTTGGCTGTTCAATGTTTGACATCCAAGCATTGGTGAATACCTGTAACCCTATAGAACCACGTTGGAAAATCTAGGTCACATTGTCGCGGCTGAAAAACAGTATTACCCAACAACCCACAGTTGTAATCATTTAGGGTCTCCTGAGTTTCCAGAATAGAGAATACATCATCAACGCGTTGCGACAGATCAAATTGTTCCTGGCGGAGAGTGTGAATCTCAAGGGTGAGTTCCTGAACAGCTAACCAAACATCATTTAGGGACGAGGTGGCAGATTGTAGTGTCGCGATAGGAGTACCCCTTGCCATGTAATTTGTCACAGAAGCACGGTAGGCTGAATTTTGGAGGGTAGTACGAAGCAACTGGTGGCGGCTTACTGGGTTGCGGCGGGAAGCCAGCAAAAAAATCAAGACGGCAAAATTGAAATCACCAATTTGGATGCCAAATTAATTGGCTGCTGATGGCAAAATCTAAGACATGGAATGCTGCTTCTCTATGGTTGAAATTTGCACTACGCCAATTTGTCAATGAACACGCCCTTTTTCTTCCCTTCTTTTTTGCCCGTTGCAATGATTCCCATAGGCGATCAATCCCTGGGCGAGCAATTTGCAACGAAGATGCAATTTGATGTCCAAGTTAACACTCTATGCGATTCCAAAGGCAACTACAGTGATGTTTCGGTAGTAATTGTTTGGAGTTCAAAAATGAAAACACCAATTAATAGGGTATACATGTTAGATAAAGAATGATTTCGAGCTCCAAGAAGACTGAGAGATTAAGGGTGAGAATTGAAGGTGAAGAAGAGAGAAAGTCAAACGACCAGAAAAGAGAGGGGGTAGATCAGGGTTTAGGAAGATGATTTCTTTATTCATTGATTAATTTAAAAAACATAAATACCTATTTATATGAAAGGGATAAAACCCTATCTAACGATCCTAAATCCTAGTCCTTTCTGTTCAACAAATAACCTACATCACCAATATCGTGCCGTGTCATGCTAACATATGCAATTGCAGAATTGCAGCAGCATCTAGTCATGTGCCTCGTAAAAACAATGGCTTTCTCTAGGATTCTCAGCGATGGATGATTAAAGTGCTTACTTGTTGGTACTGAGGTAACGAATACACGCCGGGTAGGGGGGCTGGTGGTGGATACACGGTAGGGAGTTGAGCCGGCGGAAGGGCAGCGCCGATGTATGCTTGCGACGGCTGCGGTTGGAGATGAAACGGCGTCGGGAAGTATGTGCCGTTTGAGAACGTGTACTGCGACGAGGAAGACGAAGCAGCAGCGGATGTAGAAGGCACCGTCGACATAGCGCGGGTTCAGGCGAGGAATTGAGAGAGCTTTTGCAAATGGCAGATTGATTTGGGAATGAATAAATTCCTAAAAATTGATATTTGAACTATTCCATACTCATTGAACTATGCCACTGGATTCCATTGATTCCTAGACCTAACCTCTAGGTAAACTCCCTCCAAATCCGGACTCAAATTAATCACTCCACCTACGTCAATTGCTATATTTACGAGATGCAATTGACGTATGTGGGGTGATTACTTTAGGTCGGGACTTGGCGGGGGTTTACCGAGGGGTTAGGAGAGGTAAGAATTATCAATTTTGTGAACGGAGCTCCGTGAGGAACAGTGGCTCCAGTGGCCATAGAACCGGGCTCTTGAAGTATCTATTTTTTCAAATGAAGATAACTAATAACTGAAATATTACTCGTTTTGAGAATAATGTTTAATTCATCTTTCGATAAATGATGGTGTTAAAATTTTTACTAGTTTTCCAAAATAGTTATTTCTAAATAGGTGTTTTCTCAAATTAGTCTATTTTTAAAATAAAAACTCATTAAATGTAGAAAATAATTATATTTTATCGGATGAAATAAAACAAATAAAATTATAAATATATTTTAATAAAATTATAAATATATTTTAAACCAATATATGACTTCTACTTCAGTTTAGGATGTTTGCCAATGTAATTTTAAAATAAATATGACTAACGAGTATGAATCTTATTTTAGACAAAAGGAGTATCATAAAATGAGATTCGGTTTCAGAAATTATATTCTCTTTGTTCCAATTTAATTATCTATTTTGGTTTACGATATTTGATTGGATTTGTTTTCAATACAACGTATTTGAGAGTTCGAGCAAAATTTAATAATAAAATTTACATATGAAAAAAATACAACAAAAAACTCTACAAAATAAGCAGTGACATAACTTTATTATTTTATCAAATAAGTAACGAAAATAGGAAATGAAGGTAAATAAATTTTACTCTACAAATAGCAAATATGCAACTTAATTTGAGACGAAGAGAATAGTATATTTTTTACGTTTTTGTTAAATATTTTGTTTACATAATATTCTTCTCATTAATTGTACACACTTGCAAATGTTTACCTTCAAATTATAAAATTGTATATTTAGTTTTATTTATTATATTCTCATCATATAAATATAAAATTATTTTCTCATATTTAATGAATTTTATTTTGAAAATGGGCCAATTTAAGAAAATATTCAATTGTAAATGACCCGTTTGGAAAATTAATACTACCTCTGTTTTAAATCAAGTTGCATCCTTACTACTCATAGTTCCCCAAACTTCATTCACTTTATATACATATTTTAATTTTTTTCATAAAATAATATAATCATGTCACATTTTGTTTCGTAGAGATGTAGTTTTTCTAATATGTAATTTTATTTTTAAATTTTGTTTCACTTCTCAAACAAGTTGCATTGAAAATAACAATCGAACATCGTAAACCAAAATAGGTTACTTAAATTTGGATGGATGGAGTATAAATGTTAGCGTCGTTTTGATACTGTTTTGACCATCATTAGTAGGGGAATAGACTAAGCAATATTCTCAATTAACGAGTAACATATCGGCAATTAGTTCATTTTCATGACTAATCTGAAAAAAATATATAACTATTGAGTATTATATTTATAATTTACTTTTCGAAATTGGATAGTTGCCGCTAGACACAAAGTGGTGTCATGCATCATTTTCCCTATGGAATTAAGAGAGAAATACTATAAAATAAAAGTTCATAGATGTGCTACGTCTCATTTACAATAAATTTAAATAATGTGGTAATATATTTTGTATCAAGTATGAGTTATGTAAACTTAGATCGACAAAGAAAAAAGAAAATGTTATTTTGTTTTAAAGTTTAGTTAAGCATTTAACACTTTTTTAACACATATGGATAAAATTTGACTACAGAACTAGAATCAAAATTGGATATGTGATTCTAGGGCCATTGTCCAAAATGGAGGAATTGAAAGAACTAGAGGGTCGAAGAGCTGATTGATTTGGAGACACGAGGCTGGAATACTTTATTAATTCAGGCCCTATTTTCACAAGAGGACGATGCAGAAATTTGCAACATACCACTGTGCATGATGATTGAGGAACTTGGGGATGTGGCGAGGCGATCCACGAGGATGTTACACGGTGTGCCAGAGATATCAGATGGTTAGGCCAAACGAAAGTATCTCGCAGAATGCTCACTTGCTTTTTGTTTGGCGACTACACGTGCCTCCAAAAGTTTGGAATTTCTTATGGAGAGCTTTGAACATTATTTTACCAGTGAGGGCCAACCTGGTTCGAAAGAGGGTGGTAGTGGCTCAGGCGTGTCCTCGTGTGCTGCACCCGCTAAGACAACGTTCACTGTCTTGTTCAATGCCCGTTTGCATAATAGTGCTTACGAGAAGTGAATGGTGGTGTGTCTCGAGTAGAGGATTCGTTGCTACAATAATTTGAAGCTCTACATTGAGGGCTAACGAGGACAGTGGTAACTAAGCTAGTCATGGTTATGTGGGAGATTTGGGCTCAACAAAATCAATTGGTGTGGCATAATCTACACATTAAATTGAGAGTGCTGGTTCCAAAGGCCGTCATGTGGTATGAAGAGTGGGAGGCAATACAGAATCGAGGCCAGGGGTTGCCTGGCAAGGAGCCGAGCAGAAACCCAAATGGCAGCCACCGAAGTGGGTGTGATAAAATGCAATGTGAATGTTGGATTTGATTTGCATGCAAAACAATGTTCGTGTGGAAATAGTAGTTCAGAATTGGCAAGAACGGTCCACTTAGAGGGTATTCAAAAGCTCGGTCGAGTGGAGAATGCCCTTATATATGGCGGAAGTTATGAGTGTTTGTGAGGCATTCAAGTGGAACAAATAAACGCTTTCTCAAGAACCGGTGGTGGTTGAGATGGATAAAGGTGAACACAAAGAACTTTTCATATTTTACTGGAATTATTTCTAATTGTTTAAGAGGGTGTATTCAATTGAGATTGCAAAAGATTTTTTTTAATTTTTTAGATAGTGATGGTGTAAATTACCACGCAAATGCTAAGTGTAAGTGATCAGAAGGGTTGTAGGTGGAAACACCTGTAACTCGGTTTGTTATTAATGATAATAAGAGTTATTACAAATACAGGCCGTGCAGGTTAATTAAAGCATGCCTCACAAATGAGGCTTTTAGGGGTATTTATAATAAAAACAAGCACGTCAAGCATCTCCCGACGTTTTTGTTCTTCCGGTCAGTCAGTCTTCAAGCCATCCAGTCTTTAGGTCATCCACCCGGGCAGTCTTCAGGTCATCCACCCGGGCAGCCTTCAAGTCATCCACCCGGGCAGATTAACGGGGACGGTGAGGTCAAGCCTAGTCAGACTTTAAGCATTATGCGAATGTAGTCACGATCTCACATGTCTGACCCCCGACATCCACCCGGTCAGTCTACCGGGGTTGGTGAGGTCATGTGGGGTTAGAATTTGGTACCCCCGGGTGCCTGTGAACTTGCCGGGTGGTACTAGTGGATTATATCCATCAAGGAGTCCTCCGATTCTCGGCTTTGTGGGCACCATCAAGGGCAGGAATCAAATGTCTGAATAATTTTGAATTTTTTGAATCCTCGGGAATGGTTAGCGGAAAAGTTTTTAAGGAAATTCGGTACGCCGTCGCCTAGTCATCACGTCGTTTCCTCTTCCCGGATCAAGCAGGAGTGGGCCACCCGGCTGGTCAGATGCTCTGACAGATGAGAAGCTCCATATGAAGGCCGGGCAGACGGGTCAGCTGGAGGTGGAGAATGCCCAGCTAAATGCTGAGCTGGAGAGGGAGCGCTCCAACCAGGCTGTTCACGCCACTACTTGGGCTGCGCAGAAACCAGAGAAGTTTGCTGCCTGGGCACTTTCTAACCGGGAGGTCGGCATCCGGTTCTTCCAAGTGTCTCAGCAACTGATTGATGACATTGGGATCTTTGGGTTTGGGATCAGTTAGTACCAAAAGCACCGTGGGCTGTACGGGATCTTAAGCAACCGGCTGCAGGATTTTGACCCGGTCGTTCGAACTCACAATCTCTTTGGTCACGATCGAGCTGTATCTACCCAGTCTAACGCATCTCACCATTCTTTCTACCCGAGTAAGAAATAAGCCACCCGGGTGGGTTTTGACAGAGCATGCCCGGGCTATGCTTCAAAGTTGATCATGTGAGTCATTTCTTCCTTCACCCAGGTGAATAAGAGCTCTAGTCCTCCGAGTGAGCAAGGCAATCAATTCTTTCCATTCAAGGCCTCAACCATGCAAACGGGGTAACATTTTCTTGAAAAAGTCCTCCGAGCCAAGTTAAGTGAATCCATCGTGACCCCGTCACTCACCCGAGTCTGAATCTTGATCGGGTGGGCAGTTTTGTTTTTTTATTTATCTTGGGTAGGTTGGTTCATCCTCACTTTGCCCAAATGAAAAGTCTTCAGGGAAAGATATCGAAGATCGGGGTAGGCTCGATGTTCCCAGTCCGACCGGGTTCTTTTTTTCTGAAACCGATGTGCAACTGGTGTACCCAATTCGATTGGGCTCACGCTTGTTAGAAAATATGTGCAATACTAGTGCGAGACCAGTGTACCAGTTCGACTAGGTCACATATTTTCTTTATTTTTTTATTTATACTGCACAAGACCGGTGTGAGACTAGTGTACCAGTTCGACTGGGTCACAACTTTTTTTTTAATATGTGCAAGACTGGTGTGAGACCAGCGTACCAGGCCGGGCTTGTGTCACATTTTTTTTGAGTTCAATTCGATTGAACATTGACCGGGCGGACGGGTTTGCAACCTTCCCCGACCGGTCATACCATCTTTTCTGAAAAAGTATGGTGTTCCGCCCGGGTAGTTTTGTAATGCTCAATTCGATTGAATACTGACCGGGCAGAAGATCTTCCCCGACCAGTCTTACCATCTTTTCTGAAAAAAGTATGGTGTTCCGCCCGGGCAGTTTTGTAATGCTCAATTCGATTGAACACTGACCGGGCAGATGGGTCTGTAACCTTCCCCGACCGGTCTTACCATCTTTTTCGAAAAAGTATGGAGTTCCGCCCGAGTGGTTTTGTAAATAATCTTTTCAGAAAAAGTTCAACTGTTATTTTTTGACCGTGTCGATACGATTCATCCATTTGACCAGTTGGTTTTTTTTAAATGCTCAATTAGATTGAACATTCACCGGGAGGATAGGTTTGTAACCCTTTCCTTACCGGTCTTGCGAGAAGTCTTTTGAGAAAAAAGATCAACTTTATTGAACCTTGGCATGGTACATATCCGGTCTTCGCGGATGATAAAATGGTTGTTCAACACCACTTTCTTCTTTTCTTCCCGACGAACTCTCTTCAAGAGCCTCTCCAAACGTTCTTCCTCCATGTCCACCCGGTTGCTGGGTGGTTCAACATGTCTGCGCATTGCAACTTTGGGCTAGTTTTCCGCCTGGCCCTTCGCTCTAGGCACCCTGCTGTGTTGGGGCTCATCATAGAGATGAGGGTCAAAGCGCCCGGTCTGACCGGGTCGCCTACCACCTTCTCGCCTATAGAATTTGCCTGGCTTGGGAACCTTCACCCCCAACCGCTCCTTGGCCGGTCGATTCTGGTTCTGCCCCTCATGTCCCAGCCTCTGGAACACTGACCGTCGTGAACCTTCCGGATGGACGGCTTTGCCCTGCAGCTTTTTCTGGCCTTTGGGAATATCCAAGTCTTCATCCCTGCTGCGCACAGAGCGCACGTCCCCGTCGGGTATGACCTGAGTGTGGAGCTTGTGAGATCTGCTCCTCCTAGGCCAAGAAGGGCCTGCCCTTTCCAGCTCCCCGGCTAGATTTGTCGAGGTGACCGACCGGGAGGTACTGACTGGTTGAAACGACGGGGGATGCCCCAACGTGTTGGGAAGAGATGTATTTTGGCCCAAAGCATGGGGATACATCCCAGGGATGAAAAGAGTAAATCCCCCGGGTTGTTGGAAAATGGGCATAATTTGTCCAAAGTTTTGGAGGGCCTGACCTCGGGCTGTTTGAGTAGTGAAGGTGGTGATCATGGGGGGGAAGAGAGAAGGTAATGATCTGATTCCTCCCGGGATAAGGGTAACGCCCTCCGCTGGGGTGGAAGTTTGGGAAATGATGGATTCCATATTGTTGTTCGTCATGGCTTCTTTTTGTAAAGAGGTCCCACGGGTGGCGCCAATTTGATGGTTTAAATTACCACGCAAATGCTAAGTGTAAGTGATCAGAAGGGTTGTAGGTGGAAACACCTGTAACCTGATTTGTTATTAATGATAATAAGAGTTATTACAAATACAAGCCGTGCAGGTTAATTAAAGCATGCCTCACAAATGAGGCTTTTAGGGGTATTTATAATAAAAACAAGCACGTCAAGCACCTCCCGACGTTCCTGTTCTTCCGGTCAGCCAGTCTTCAAGCCATCCAGTCTTCAGGTCATCCACCCGGGCAGTCTTCAGATCATCCACCCGGGCAGATTAACGGGGACGGTGAGGTCAAGCCTAGTCAGACTTTAAGCATTATGCGAATGTAGTCACGATCTCACATGTCTGACCCCCGATATCCACCCGGTCAGTCTACCGGGGTTGGTGAGGTCATGTGGGGTTAGAATTTGGTACCCCCGGGCGCTTGTGAACTTGCCGGGTGGTACTAGTGGATTATATCCATCAGATAGAATAGACTATGTAGAATTCTTGGATTATTTTAATTCCATGTGGATTTAGATTGATTTTAATCAAGATTTTTTTAGATTTTAAAAAGTCCATAATATTTTTTTAACATTATTTGGACTATCTCCTTGCATTCCTTCTTTTCTTCCAGTGCGCTTAGGATCTACACATCTATTAAACAAAAATAACAAGTAAATATACAAAATTAAAAATTAGAAAAATACCACTCCAAATCTGCAATCCGACTAGCCGCCATCGGATACTCTTGGAGGTGGATTGCAAAATTACTAACCTCACCTATTGAAAATATAGCATTTCCAGTGGCACCATACTCCGGTGTCACTAGAACCTCACCGCAACAACATATATATTTTTTGCATGTTACTTGCTACTCCCTCCGCCCTATAATGATCTTCCCAGAGCACTATTCCAACTTCACGGGAATTTATATTTATTTGTGTTTTTTCATGGCCTATATGATAAAATAAAATATTCTTGTCACCACTTGTTTTGTTGAACTTTTGATGTAGTTTTTAAAGATGTATGTTTTATTTTTTATTTTTATACCAATATTTAAATAAAATAGATTAAAAAAACTTGAAATTTTTCTTCGTTTTGCGAACCGGGAAGATCATTATAGGACGGAGGGAGTACTTCGTAGTATCTAGCAAAATAATATTTTATGTTATTTCATATTTGTATTGTAATATCAATTATATTTAATGTGTCGTCTTATTTTTACTCCCTCCGTCCTATAATGTTTTTCCCGGTTCATTTTACGAGGTTTGACCGACTTTATTTTCAATTCAATGTATTTGATTGTAGGTGTAAAATTAAAAAATAAAATTTATATATTTAAAAACTACATCAAAAGTTATACAAAACAAGTGGTGACAAGACTATTTTATTTTATCAAGTACTTAATGACAATAGATAAAAGAAGTAATTAAAATTTGATCAGATAAAAAATGAGTGAGAAGAATATTTTTGGGTTCTATTTTAAAAAAGGTCAGGTATGGTAAGTAAATGACGGAAAGTGGAAACTACACACAGAGGTTAGACCTTAGAAGATTCGTTGAAGTAATAATTACGGAGTACTAACATTTGGGCACGAAATGAAGGTTACCTATGGAGTATTTTGTCCCTAGGGTTCTCTTTTTTTTAATTGACTTTATTCCCTGTTACCACCAATTGATTTATTTACTACACAAATTACAGTTTTCTGGTAGATCAAATTAAATCCAAAAATTTCGGTGCCTTAAAATAAACAAAAATAATTTTTTTTTGGAAAATATCTGGATTCCATTTGACCTCATCTTGAATTTGCTCTTTCATATGATGCCTGCAATTTGCAGAGACTTCAAGGTGTGATTTATGGTGGATGTGGTGGGTCATCCGGGTCGGGTCAGCTACAAATGGGATTTGTTGGTAAATGTCAGTAGGTGCCCCACTGCCCAGGGTTGGGGCTGTGGTTTGCATTGACCCGGAAGTGAATACACTGGTGGGGTTTATCATCCTCTTTCAGTGCACTTGCTAGATTTAGGGTGCTTCAGATCTGCTGTTAATATTTAATATTTGGAGATATGTGTATCTGTCTTATGTATATATACGTATTTATGTGTTTGCATGATTGTATTTATTTATTTATTTTATTACAGATTTGGTGTAATTTTCCTGATTTTCTGCTGATTTGTGGAATGTGTAGAGGTATTGAATTGGAGCTTCAGCTGGTTTAGGTCACCGGAAAAGCTTGATCATCAATCAAGCACACATGCATGTGTAAGCACACAAATTCAGCCGATATCATTAAGATTTCCGGCATTGCTTTGAATTTAGAAATGCTGGGCTGTTTGTTTATAGAGTTATTTTGGTTCTCTACATCTTTTTTGAAATTCCGAATTCGTGATTATTAGTTTCAGTATGGAATTGTGGATGCACAGTTCTAATTTTAACTCGGGCGCCTCTAATTTGATTGTTATCACTTTTATTAAAATAAATGAGAGATGATTAGAACATCTGTGGTTTGATTTCTCTTTTGCTAGCTAGTTGATATGACTTATGAACGTTGCTCAACAGCTGTGATGGGGACTGAACTAGTTAGCCATTGTGTCAAGGAAGAAACTATAGATATGTCGACAATTCCGCCTGGATTTGAATCACTTGCATCCTTCACCTTGGAAAAAACCAAAGATAGCAAAAACAAAACTAGTTTCTCCACCACTTCAAGTGAATTGCAATTACAGAGAGCTAAGGTGGAAACAGATTTCAAGTGCCCGGAGGATGCAAATTTGAAGTCTGTAAGGCGTAGGTCTCAAGTTGAGAACAGCTCAGAAGATGAATCTGAGTGTGATCAGGTAGAGACTATTGTTTTATGTTATGGTGCAATTACACATTACTTATTAGAAATTTAATTCCTCATCTTATGTGTCCTTTTATTAACACTTGCAGAAAGTCCTCAAAAGGCCCCAGCTCCCAAAAGGGGTTATCCGTGGATGCGAAGATTGTGTCAATTGCCAAAAGGTTAACATTGTACAGTTATTTTCTCAACACATTAATACAGTGCTAGTTGATTTCCACTTTCCCCTTTATAAAGATTTCGGAGCATTTGAACCTCAATGTCCAAACAGGTGGTTGCACAATGCCGTCCAGAAGAAGCACGCAGGCCTGATCTTCAGAATGCTCCAGTGTTCTATCCGACTGAAGAGGTCGCAACTGTATACTAGTTTTACTTGGTTTTCAAACTGATGATATATGTCCTTGTTTCAATTTCAAATACCAACAATAAGTTTAAAATTGTTTCAAACTCTCAATCAATTCATCGATGTTCAGGAATTTCAAGATACTCTAAAATATATTGCAAGTATACGTCCAAAAGCTGAAGCACATGGAATTTGCCGCATTGTACCTCCTGCTTCGTGGAAACCTCCGTGTCCCCTCAAAGAAAAGAGTATATGGGAAAAATCCAAATTTAATACTCGAATACAGAGGATAGACAAACTTCAGAAACGAGACTCAATAACTAAAACATCGAAGCTTAATTTTCATAAGAAAAAGAAAAGGAAAAGATGCACCAAGGCAGGGCCGGATCAAAACAGTGCCAGTTGTGATGTCAAGGTTCCTGGTGAAGCTGCAAGTTTTCACTCTGAGTGGTTTGGGTTTGAACCTGGCCCAGAGTTTACTCTGGATTCATTTCAGAAATATGCCGATGATTTCAAGGCCCAGTACTTCAGAAATCATGAAGGGCGTTGTGAGCCCTCAGTGGAAAATATTGAAGGTGAATATTGGCGGATGGTTGAGAAACCCACTGAAGAAATAGAGGTATAATTCCTCGTATATATGTTGTGTGTGTTTGGTTCCTTTCCAACTTATAATCTTTTAAATGTTATTTGGCTTCACAGTTTCACAGCATTCGATCACCATCTTTTCAGTATCATTATTTTTTATCTTATTTGCAACATATAGGTGCTTTATGGGGCTGACTTGGAAACAGGAACATTTGGTAGTGGGTTTCCTAAAAGTTCCCATCAAGTAGGGTCCGCTCCTGACATGAAATACATAAGTTCCGGGTGGAACTTAAATAACTTTCCAAGACTTCCAGGCTCACTTCTTTCATATGAAAGCAGTGATATATCTGGTGTTTTGGTACCTTGGCTGTATATTGGAATGTGCTTTTCTTCTTTCTGCTGGGTAAGTAAAATGGCTAACCATTCACTTCTATGAATGTCATTCCTGTTTCATCATTTTGAGATGGTACAGTCAACATAGATGACATTTGACTATTTTTTTTGTACGTGTTGATAGGTCTGGAACTCTACTACGTTGTTTTTCATGCTTTTCACTATTCATCATAATGATGGAGTACTTATTTTGGATATATCGTGTGCTTAATTTTTGTTTTGCCTGTAACAATTTCAGCATGTTGAAGATCACCATCTATACTCACTGAATTACATGCATTGGGGAGCTCCAAAATTGTGGTATGGTATTCCTGGGGCAGATGCCATTAAGTTGGAAGCTGCTATGAGGAAACACTTGCCTGACCTCTTTGATGAGCAGCCAGACTTGCTTCATAAGCTGGTAAATATAACTCACTATGCCGATTGAATTTGATGTTTTTTAACTCTTAACAGCATCTACAGGTGTAGTTGAGGCTAGTGTGAAATAGATGCTCTTAGTCCAAGCTCATGCCCTTGGCAAATTATAGAATACAAAGTTTTAAATTTGATCTGTCACCTTGCACGATATAGTGATTTTACAATATTGATTTTGCTATGGGACATGGCCATAGTGACTATCTCAACTTATCTCCATATCTATGCAAGTGAAAACTTATGATGATGCCAGCTTTGGATTTTTATCTCATAATTCTTTCTTTAAGAGTTGCCACAGGAAGGGCATAGTGTTGGGTTATTTTTGCATGAATTTGTAGTGTTATACGGAGTATAATTTTAGAATATTAATTGATAATATGAGTTTCATGCTACTGACCTCAACATAGTTGGGATTACGTTGATGATTATAATGATAGAAATCAATTTAATTTAGCTTATCTCCTTTACATTGGAACCAGCACTCAGCTGAGTGATTTCCTGTCCTTGTTTGAATTGCTGCCTTCAATTTTGTCTTGTCTCTAGATTTTTCATTGTTTATGACAGTAGCTTTATGGTAAGAATTATCTGCTAATGTTTGCCTCCCTTCTATCTAGTAGTTTTGCTCTTCAACCGTCTAGTTTTGTGCAGGTCACACAACTTTCGCCCTCCATACTAAAGTCCGAAGGAGTGCCTGTTTACCGATGTGTTCAAAAAAAGGGGGAGTTTGTTCTGACCTTCCCCCGAGCATACCATGCAGGCTTCAATTGCGGCTTCAATTGTGCCGAAGCAGTAAATGTAGCTCCAGTTGACTGGTTGCCTCATGGACAAAATGCTATTGAGCTCTATTCTGGTCAAGGCAGGAAGACTTCTATTTCCCATGACAAACTATTACTTGGGGCTGCCCGTGATGCAGTAAAAGCACATTGGGAACTTAGTTTACTGAAGAAGAATACGTCAGATAATTTAAGATGGAGAGATGTGTGTGGGAAAGATGGGATTTTGTCCAAGGCATTGAAGGTAAGGGTAACTACAGACAACTTCTGTGTATTTAACAATGGAATACGTAGTTATTCACTGGCATATGATTTGTGGGAGAATATTAGGTACATGCATCAGTAGGGTAATGGCTTGAAAGAAAGGCAAAGTGTTTTTATCAAATACGGAGTAAATGAATTTCCCTTTAGTTTAATTCCGGACAATGGAATTATAACCTTCTTGTTCAATCTTAGGATCTTTCTTGGGACACTAAGCCTGTGTCTTGCAGAAGAATAAGTACCTTTTGAGTTCCAAACACTTTTGAAATGAATGTTACCGAACACTTTAGGTTAAGTAAAGTCAATTCAACCATTTCAGCTAAATAACCCTTACCAAATTCATAAACTGCTGTATGTTTCAAACAGTTGTGAATTGGACATTTTTTTACATTCTTTGCAGACGCGTATTGAAATGGAACGGGTAAGGAGGGAGTTTCTTTGCAAAACCTCACAAGCCTTAAAAATGGAGAGCAGTTTTGATTCTACTAGTGAGAGAGAATGCAGTGTATGCTTTTTTGATCTGCATCTTTCTGCAACAGGGTGTCACAACTGCTCACCGGATAAATATGCATGCTTGAACCATGCCAAACTACTCTGTTCTTGTTCTTGGGGTGCTAAATTTTTTCTTTTTCGTTATGAAATCTCCGAGTTAAACATATTAGTTGATGCTTTGGAAGGGAAGCTAAGTGCAGTATACCGTTGGGCAAGACTAGATCTGGGATTGTCTTTGAGTTCGTACGTGGCCAAAGAGCCTAAAGTCACTGGGCTTGTTGATACACTATCTTCCAAATCCACAGCTCTGGTAGTACCAAATGAGGCAAATCAGAGACTGTCCACTGAATCCCTAAAAGAGGAGAGAGATGAAACGCAAAAAGGGACTCCCTCTTTGGATTCATTTACTGTAAAAGACAAGCCATCTTCACATAGTTCAACTCTGGTGGCTAAGGTAGACCAAAAAGAAGGATCAGAAAAGTTGGTTTCTGATAGAAAAACTCCCAATTGTGAGCTGTCTCAAGTGGGTAAGTGTATAGGCAAACTTGTAATAAAGAAGGCTCCCAATCCTGGCGATGATATCATACTTATCAGTAATGACGACGAACACGAGCTTAAGATAAATCACGGGAGAGTGAAGGATTCTCCTGAAAAGCATAGAGTCTGCCCAAGCAATGGTGTTAATTTGGGCTGTATGAAGTCTGATAATGCTCAATCTGAAACGCTTAAAAAACCCACTCTGGTTAACCATTTTTCACACGTAGTTACGTCTTCAGACGAAGATGTTAATAAGCAAAATGGAAATTGTATTGTAAAAAATGTAGATGGCCATTCCCAACAGAAGCTGCCAAGTGAGAATCACTCCAATAATGAAGATGTGTTTAAAAAAATAGATGTAGATGACAATTCAAGACCAGTGGATGGTGCCCATAGTTTGTCTCCTTTTTCACAAAGTAATTTGGACAGATATTTTCGGCAAAAGGGTCCCCGCATTGCTAAAGTGGTGAGGAGAATCAATTGCAATGTCGAGGTACTGAACTATGGAGTTGTCCATAATGGAAACTTATGGTGCGATAGTCGGGCAATATACCCCAGTGGTAGGATCCTTGTGCCATTCATGAATTTATCTCCCAAAAAAATTGGTCAATGAAACAAATGTTTGCTGCTTGTTTCTTATGCAGGATTTAGGAGCCGTGTCAGATACATTGATGTTTTAGATCCATCAAGCACGTGCTATTATGTTTCTGAGATTCTAGATGCAGGACGAGATGGGCCTTTGTTTATGGTAAATTAGTCTCTCATTTTAGACTGGAATGGTCGATGCCAATGAAAGTTCACATTTTGTTCATTTCATGTGTGTGTGTGTGAATTTTCGCAAGTTGAAATGCCTATACATCAGTGAGGCAGAAGGATTAATATACAAATTTCCACTAATTGTTTTGCAACATGGGTTATATTGCGACTCTTGTCACTTGTCAGGCATTCGAAAAATAGACTGCCCATATTGTTTTAGATTACATACTCCATGTATTTTAATTATTTTTGATGAAATTCAGCCTTTAATTTTTTGTATTTGTTCAATCTTTATTAAAAGCAAATGAAAGAATGAGATGGTTGTTTAGCAAAAATCTGTGAACGTCATCTTACACTGAAAATCTCGTAAGTGCATTTTGATTTATGGTGTTTTCAGGTTTCATTGGAGCATTGCAAAAGTGAAGTTTTTATCCATGTATCGGCTGTCAGATGTTGGGAACTGGTTAGGGAGAGAGTGAATCAAGAGATCAGTAAGCAGCATAAGTTGGGAAGGGCGAAGCTTCCTCCACTGCAGCCACCTGGGAGTCTTGATGGCATGGAGATGTTTGGCTTTTCCACACCAGCAATTGTGCAGGTAAGCAAAGGTTATTCACATTGCCACTGTTTCTTAGCATACTAGCAGTCTAGCACCGGCCCGTCCTCACAAGCATAAATTACCCTTACCAAACTGGCCCAAAACCTTTCTCCACTAGGCGGGGTCGGCTAAATGGACCAAGTGGCGCCATTCGTTGCGATTGAGAGCCATATCATCTTTTACTTAGGCTTGCACTACCCCCTTTTAAATGTTGTATTTATACCCTCACAGCTTCTAACAGGTCTCCAAATATGGCCAAACCATTAACCATGTCAATTGGTACTTCTCTCTTCTCATACAACATACTCAGTTTCTTAGTCTGTATATCAAGATAGAGAGGCGGTTTACATGTGACCTTCAGCTGATTTGTCTATCAACTGCTCAGTTTCAAATTTTACCATAATTTAATGGAAGGTGTATAAATAAAGGTAAAAAGAGTAATGAAACTGAGAATATAGATAAAGAAATAAGGATGGGAAAATAAATTAATTGCAAAAATAAGTAAATGGCTTGAACCAAGGTTACATTTCCTTCATTTCCATTTTGTGCTTGTTGATTTCTGTATAAACCAGCAGTGTAATTAGTGCTGATTTTGCTGTTTGGTATGAGAAATGGAGAAATGAAATTTTTATTTATTTTTTGTGGACAAAAATACCCATATATAACAAAAGACAAAAAGAGTGTTTAACTAGGAGTGAGGTAGAACGGAGAAAACAGAGCAAAACACCATTCCCTCTCTTTCTACGCTGCCAGGGGGAGAAACAAAGAGTGTGTGGGACCCACCATACATACGCCTCTCTCCGCTATTTTTTTCTTTTTAACCAAACGAAGTAATCACTGGATTTCTGGCCTATTTATTTTCTCTGTATTTCATTCTTCACTTCATGCCTACAAAACAAAGCCCTAAAATTTGACCATTATCTTTTGTAGGCGATTCAAGCTATGGACCAAAGCCGAGTAGCTTCGGAGTATTGGAAATCAAGACCACTAATGCAGTTTCCCCAGTTCTCTCCATCTCGAATCAAATCAAAACCCAAAACAGAGGAGGGTATTGATGACCGGGAAGCTGGCAAATACGAGACAATACTCAACAGCTTGTTTAAGAAGGCCAACTCTGAAGAACTTCAAGCACTGTATAGGGTACTAAGTAGCAACACCTCCTCAGATGATCAATCCTTAGTGGGTCAGCGTCTTGGCGAGGAGATTCACAGGCGAGGTAAATAGTACTTTTCTTTTTTCTTCTAACGACGACTTTGTAGCTCTGTAAATTCTGTTGTCTCCCCTTTTAGGTCTGATACGAACGGATCATCAATACTGATTTTGTGTTTCCTTATAGATCTGTTCATGGCTTGTAGAGTAGAGTTAGGTTCCATTAAATCTCTTGAGTTTATGCTTTCACATTGTTTCAAATTCATACCTTATCACATTGTTTCTTTTTTCTTTTTTTAACCTGTAGAAACTCATTAACTTTACACCCCTTCAATGTAATGAAACTATAAGATTATTATACTGCATAGTGTTTTTCCATGACAAGTGCTTGAAATCTCTCACATGTTGGGAAACTTAGAAGCTTTAATTTGCAGGGAGAAATTTTAATGAACTTGAAAATGTGTCACAAAATGTTCATAAGGTATGAATATGAACTTGTGACAATAACAATTTGGGCATTTGGTGCCTGAGCTTGGCCATAAAGTGTAAAGTGGTGTTTTACTTGGGATAGTTTGTTGACACTTGTAATATTGTACTCCGTAGCCTTTTAAATCGATTGTTTCGACTTACGATGTTTGAATGAAGTTATTTTCAAATCATTTTATATGAAAAATAGTGTAGAATTAAAAAATAAAAATTACATATTTGAAAACTACATCAAAAGATATACAAAACTAGTGGTGACATGATTATAATATTTTATCAAATAGCTAACCAAAATACAGAAAAAAAATGAATAAAATTTGACTCTGTAAATAGTAAACATGTAATTTAAATTGGGACGGATGGAATAAGAAAGTTTTCTTCTGTTTGTAACCCAATAGCCGCGTTTTATTGTGGTGTTCGATAGATTAAAGTTCATCAATTAAGATTAAATCTCCTAATTGATTGACAATATCCACCTCAAAAACAACATAAAAGTGTACAAGCTAAGCTAATTAGTTAAAGGAAAAGGTTATAAAGCGATTTCAAAGATTATATTCTAACCTTTTAATTTATTAGCAACAGATACTTCGTATTATAGGATTCTTAAACATATTTATGGGCATCCAAGCAAAGTCGTCCTAAATCAAAACCCCGTCCAACATATAGTCCATCTTTACTTAAGGCCTAGGTTCTTTGTCTTTAAATGCCTACTCCTAACAATCACTTTAACACAAATGCTTTCATAGATAAGGCATCTTTTTATTTAAAAATAAATAAATAAATTCTCTATCTTGGATTTTTATTCTCAAGTATGTAGTACTCCACTATCTTAATTTAAATCGTCTATTTCGATTCACGATATTTGACTAAAGTGATGTTTTCATATCATTTTATATGAAAAATGGGATAGTATTAAAAAAATATAAATTACATATTTAAAATTTACATCAAAAAATATAAAAAACTAGTAGTGACATGACTATATTCTTTTATCAAATAACTAACGAAAATAGAGAAAGAAAATGAATGGAATTTAAACCTGTGAATAATAAAAATGTAATTTAATTTGGGTCGGAGGGAGTAATCCGTATGATTTACATGATCAAATTACATCATTTTTATACATATTTTCATTGACCATTTGTTAACATGGTACTTCCGTATAATCATGTTAGCTCTTGCTGTATATATAAAACTTTTTTATTTAGTTTCTAAATATAGGATTTATAATTTTATTTTTTAGATTTTGTACTAATAATTAAATGAATTCATGAGCTGAAAATAATGCAATCAAACGTTGTTAGCCAAGAAGAATGATAATTGTAGGACGGATGTATTGAGTATCAATTTTATAATTTTCATTTTTATAAATCTCATGTTCGATGAAAGTAGACTTTAATTTAGAAACGAGGCAAAGAGATTTATATAATTTAACAAAAAATTATTGTATCCCAATATTGACGATCCTCGTCTACTCTTCTCATGCTAATTAAGTGCTCTTCGAACCATGTGGGAGGGTTTTTATGGGCTTGCATAGTTGCATGTAGATGTTTTTTTGTAATAAGCCAACTTCTTTAGTCCTACAAATGCACTAAGATTCGTAAAATGAGCATGGACTTTAGGTTCATAAAAAAATTTGCCTTGCGGGAGAATCGTTTCAAGTCCGAACAAGCCTGAAAATCACGAAGTTTTTTTTTTGAATTTTATTATTTTTCCAATCAAAATTCCAAAACAATTTAAAGAGAACTATATAAATCAAGAGTTTGTTACTTTAAAAAATATCCAAAGTTTGTTCAATCCCAAATATAGACATTGAACAATATTACTCTATACTTCCTTCCAGCCTAAAATTATCTTCTTAATTATTATTCATATATTTAAAACATAGGTTATTTTCTTATATATTTAATCGATCATTTTAGTGTAATTCTTAAATATATAATTTGTATGGAGTATGTATGAAGCATTTTTTTGAATACTAGTTCTGAAATTTGAAAATAAGTTTAGTGAGTACATTATAAATCACAATGAGAAGATACTATGGAGAGAAAATACTACTTCATATTTGTGTAGACCTGTACCAAAGTAAAGGTGAGATAAAAATAGGTACCTTTCTACTAATATTATTTTAGTCTGGTTCTCGTGACAATGAAATTAATGAAGAGATGCTAAGGGTACACCATACATTTTTATTCATTTATTTCATTTTTTATACTCTAAAAACTGAATTAAACCCGAAAGTTATTCTTATCCCTTAATCTTAAAAAACTTCTCTTTGCATCTTACATAAGCTCCCTCTCTATTTAATTTTGACAAGGACGACCCGGGAGCTAGAGTGAGGTGCAAGGAGATTTTGGAGATTGCTGGGGGCGAAGACCCTCTTTCGCATCCAAGACAACATTGTAGGTATCTAATAGCATTTCATAACATTGATGTTCAATGTAGAATCTAGAAGAGTCATATGCCGCTGAGTGTAACATGATAAAAATTGGTCCGACCTATTTTTTATTCGAGACCTGACATGAAAGTATTGAAGTTTGAACAAAATTTTTGTTCACCGAATCAAAAACGCCCAGCAAAGAATGAGCCAAACTCGACCGAACCCGATCTAAACGTTTGATTGTAAGAATTTCAAAATCATATACTTTAATATGAAAAATAGTGTATTGAAAATAAAGTTATGTTTTTTTCTCATTTCTCATTTTTAGCTATAAACTTATACTTTTAAACATGTTTTATTAATGATATCACATAGTTATCATCGCCCCCCCTTTTTTTACAACAAAAAGAGGTCATATTATGACAATAAGGCCTACGGTGCTCCATTTGAAAAACTGATGGTTCCCTCAATTTTTCGAACGAAGCATTGTAGGCTATTGTTGTCATAATATGGCAATAATAGTTGTTGTCAAAAGAAGCCCTCTGAATTATCAATAATTTTTTTTCAAACACGGTGCATATTTTATTTTTATGTTATTCATAATATTGTTAAATGTGTCTAAAAAGTAATAAAAATTCAAAACAAAATATCATAAGACTAAGAGGTTTAATATGAACTTTTATATTCTAAAACTAAAATTTGTAACTCGTTGAGTCAATCCGAACTATCAAACCTAAACCCGAACCAGAAATAAGGGAGGTACATTACAAAGCACATCCTGTGTTTCTAGTTATTTTTGTGTAGTTTAACTTTTTCAGATCAAATTGGATAAATATATATTGAGTTTCTTTTGTGCAAAAAATCATAACGTACTAAAGTATTAAAATGATTTTTTTGGATTTATGTTATTGAGAATTTCAGAAATGCATTTCATTATACTTATATGTCATCCAAATTGAGTGTAATTGAAGCTTTTAGATTTATGTAGATATAGTGAGTATTAATTACGTATTACTCGCAATTAAAAAGGATGAATAATGGCAGCCCAAAAAAAAAGCAACATACGATAAATCCAAATGGTGGGAATGTACGGAGAAAGGGATTTGCGTTGGAAGGCGAGGGTGAAGAGAATCGGACGGCTGAGAATTGGCGAACGGCGTCGTATCAACGGACTGGAAGAGCTTGGGAAAGGAGATAGTGGCGGCACGCAGACTAGTGGAGGAGGACGGTAAGACGTGTTGTAATTGGTGAAAAAAGCATTACTTGTGGGACCCACTGCGGCACGTGTCATATGTATGCGCCCAAGTTTTTTCTCCCATGGTATTTTTCTTCGTACGGAAATCGGATCTTATTCGGTCGCGTCGCACCCCTACCCAACCCAACCCAGGTAGTCTACTAATTCATTTATAAAAAAAAAAGATGAACCCGGTCTTCAAGGGTCTCTCACATGGGAAATCGGATGGTTTTTCGAAGTAATTAAATTAGATTTTGATCATATATTAGTGACAAAGACTAGAGTCTGAACTTGGTACTAAGACGGTATTGGCACATTTTATTGGTTTGATTTACGGAGTAATTGATTTACTCTGCTTAATTCTAACTAATCGGTTCTATATTCTCTTTATCTCAGAAAATATTTTTAATTTGAAAAATGACAATTTTTAAAAATGTTTAATTTAATAGAATATGATGCGTGAAGGATAGACAGTTAGAAAATAATACTCCCTTCGTCCCTAAAAGATTATCACATTATATTTAATTATAATTTAAATTAAGTAAAATTGGGATTATTTTAAAATATAGTTTTTAAATATCAAGTTTTTATAATATTTAATTATTCTAAACTATATTTAATTTATGATCAAAGGATATATGTGATTATTTTACAATATCAAATTTACCTTTACTAAATTTGTCCTTTTTGTTCAAACATAGCATTAGAACATTTTTAATGGGGAGGGATATCGCATTCCGTCGTTACTTGCCACATCAGCATTCTACAAATTTTTAGCTTCACCCCAAAAACCTAAAATGTTATCACCCTTACGGCTCGTCTCCCTATTTTTTTAAATAAAATAAAAAGGTTGGATCAGAAGCGGCTCGCCCCTGCAATCGACGGAAATGGAATTGAAGAACTATTCCATAGTAATTTAAAAGAGTAGCCGAGTTAAAAAAAAAGCCGTGGTCTAAAAATAAATTATAGTCCGGTCCTACTCATCCGTCACTGAAAACTACAATGGTTCAAAAGACTTAGCTAATTAAGCATTAGCCTAGACCAAATAATAGAGTAATAGAATCTGAAAGTGAAACATTTATCTTATGATAATTACACTAAGTAATGATGATTAAACAACACGGTTCTAAAGAAAATGGAACCGGAATGGGCAAGGGGTGAACTGTTTTAGTTGGATTCCAAATTTTACACATGCAATTGCAAGTAGAGTATGAATGAATTATATACAATGTTCTCAATAGAGGCACGTAAGACATCCTGACTAATTTATTTGCAGCAAATCTTGTGATTTGACACTACAAATATTTGTGCGTCCCACAAGTTTTTGTATGCATATCAATTTAATCCTCACTCCATCTTAAAAAATGACTTTCAATTTGGCTTAGTTAAAGATTAAGAAAAGTGAAAATATATAGTTGAAAGTGATACTTTTGGGTTTGTGGAGGCTTGGGCTTGACTTTTGGCCCGGCCCATTTTACGAAACCCTAGATGCACTCTTCCTATATATATTGCATTCTTGTACTTGTAATCGGTACCACAAGTGAAATAAGAAAATCCTCCCGTTGCAGCCGTAGATTAGGGAAACCGAACCACGATAAATTCTTGTGTGTCGTTTGTGTTCCGTTTCTTTCTTGATTCTCGCAGATATTTGTGTGTGTTGCGTGCATAATCCCCAACAAGTGGTATCGGAGCAAGGTTATTCAACACGAGCACAAATTGTGAGAAATTTGTCACCTAGGGTTTTTCAGATCTGTGCGTGCTGAGCCGCCGGGAGAGATCTGAGATTCCAGTAGTCCAATCTGAGATTGCAGTTCAGATCGTGCCGCCGTCAGCCGCTGATTCGTCCAGGTGCCGTCGTAGAGGAGTCGTCACTCAACCGGCCGTCGCTGAAGGAGCAATGCGTCTGTTGAGCGAGACCGCCGCCGCCGACGAGAGGAGTCGTTGGGTCGGGATCTGTCGCTGTCGTGGAGGAATCGCCGCCGCGTCGCCATCTCGATCGCCGCCTCCGATAGCCGCGCGCAGAAGGAGCCGCCGCCGCTACCGTCTTCAGTTGCAGAGCCGCCGGGTTGAGAAGTCGCCGCGGCAGGAGCGAACACCAGGGGTCGCCAACGCCGTCCGAGACACCGCCGCCGCCGGGTTGAGAAGTCGCCGCGCAGACGCAGCAGGACCGCTGCCATCTTCTCCTTCTTGCCCAATTGAAGCTGCCGATCGAAGGGGCTGTTTTTTTTTTGAGTTGGGCCGTATTCAGGAGCCAAAGAAAGAAAAGAAAAAAAGTTGTGGGCCAATTTGTTTTTAAATTGGTCAGTCATTTTTCTTCTTTGGTGTTTTTGGGCTTAGTTTGGTTTGGCTAAATTAATGTGTGTGGTGGACCTGATTTTCTGACAAAATTACCAAGATCTGAAATTTTTGTTCCGGGTATCTCGTCCAGTCGTTTGAGATGGCAGAAGACGGGAAGTTCCGAATTGAGAAGTTCGATGGTACAGATTTCAGTTGGTGGAAGATGCAAATTGAAGATTTGCTGGTTCAAAAAGATTTGGACGTGGTTTTAGGTGACAAGCCAGAAAAGATGTCGGATGCA